TATTATTTATGTTTTTGCTTTGTTTTTTAACATACTGTCACCCTAGCAGTACAGTGTCACCATAGTGACACTGTACTACTTGTGGGGGGTGATGAAGATTTTTTTTTTTAAACTGATTGCTTTTATACCCATAAAGGCTATAAAAGCAATAAATGGCTTTATATGTGATTGTTAATGTTTTGAATTTTATTCGTTGGGCAATGGGAAGCCAGTGGAGGGATTGGCAGAGAGGGGTGGCAGATATGGAATGGTTAGTAAGGTGGATGAATCTGGCAGCAGCATTCATGATAGACTGAAGAGGGGATAGCCTGCGAAAGGAGCTAGAGAGTAGGAGGTCATGCGAGGAGCGGAGAGAACGGTTTGGGTGATATTTGGAGACAAGATCGGTGATGTAATTTGGGGCAGAGTTATAAATGGCTTTATATGTGATTGTTAATGTTTTGAATTTTATTCGTTGGGCAATGGGAACCCAGTGGAGGGATTGGCAGAAAGGGATGGCAGATATGGAATGGTTAGTAAGGTGGATGAGTCTGGCAGCAGCATTCATGATAGACTGAAGAGGGGAACTTTAGTCCCCTTTTGTTTGGTTCCACCCTCTGTCGCCGCCATTTTCATTATTATGGCGCATGGACAGATGTAGATGATGACAATGGATGCAATTGAAGGCATAGTAAGGGGGAGTATTGTGATGTCTATGAGAGATGATATCTGGAACGTGGTCCATTAAAAAAAAAAAGGATGCCTGCCAATGTAGGGATTTCGTGACACCGGCTGCACAAGATAACTGTCAGCCGAAATGGGACAGTTGGCTATGTGCCACGAGTCGGTTATAACACAAATTTTTGTATGTTTTACCGGAGCGTACTTTTTAAAGGGGATGACCACCCACACAGAAGCTGCAATGGCTGAGAACATTAAACACATGGACCTCTCTCAATCAACAGTCATAGAAGTTGTAGACAGATCACAGAGTTCTGCTCTGATACCTATCATCCCTGATAGCGCTGACATGATCTATGGCGTTGCTCCTGGATTCTGACATTTAACCTTGGCAGCACCAGCCAGGCTCTTTTACTGACAGCTCCAGAGGAGGAAAGGGAGGACACTGCCGCTGGTTCTGTGTTTGGACAAAGATAAGCACCCTGTGACATTCCAGCTGTTGTGGAACCACAAGCTACATCGGCCTCCCCAGCAATAAGAGGGCCTTGTACTTCCAGAAGATCTGATTTCCTACCAATTTAATGTACTTCCCCCATCTGTTCATTTAATGAATCCCATTTCCTTTTTCCTTCTTTCCTCCACATTTGTAGGCTTGAGAGGAGTAATTTTGCCACAAATATTTGCCAAAAGGGAAACCCTCAATTTTTCTTATTTTGCTGCTTACGTGAAAATATGTTTGAAAAAATATATTTTTTGTTAATATATTGTTTTGGGTTTTTTGTTTGTTTTGTTTTTTTATTAAGAGTTTTTTTGGTGTGAATTAATGGTAATTTAGTTTATTTTCTTATTTTTTTTTGTATTTAGAATTTTTTGGGGGATGAAGGTGTATTTATGGAAATTTAGTTTATTTAATTTGCTGTTCTTTCTTTGTTTTTTGTTTTTTTTAATTAAAGCGGAGCTCCACCCAAAAGGGAAAGTTCCATTTAAAGGACTGCTTCCCATTAAGGATTGGCACCTTTGGGGGGTGGGGAGCAGGTACCCGAATTTGACAGGTACCTGCTCCCACTTCCGGTCCAATCGCCTAGGCGATCGGAAGCGGAAGGTGTCCTCCTCCCTCCCTGTAGTTTTTTGGGACACGTGACAGGTCCCAGATGACTACAGGACCATTCATGAAGCGCAGCGCTACTCACGCATGCGCAGTGGGTACCCGGCTGTGAAACGACAAGCTGTCACAGCCGGGTGCCCACACTGAAGATGCTGACGCCTGGAATACAGGACAGCCGGTGAAACGGGCTGTGGGGGACACACAGTGGGACCGAGGGAAAGGTAAGTGGCTGTTTTTTAAAAGTCAGCAGCTACAGTTTTTATTTTTTTACAGCGTGAGTGGAACTCCGCTTTAAGAGGTATTTTTGGGTGGCAAGCATGAATTAATGGTAATTTAGTTTATTTATTTTCTTTTTTTTTTGTATCTAGAGTTTGATTGGGGATGAAGGTGCATTTATGGTAATTTAGTTTATTTCATTTGCTGTTCTTCCTTTGGTTTTTTTTTTTTTTTAATTAAGAGGTTTTTTTTTTTTGGGGGGGGGGGTTGGATAAGAGTGAATTAATGGAAATTTAGTTTTTTTATTTTCTTTTTTTTTTTTTGTATCTAGTTCTTTTTTTGGGGGATGAAGGTGAATATATGGTAATTTATTTCATTTGCTGTTCTTTTTTTGTTTTTGTTTTTGTTTTTTTGTTTTTTAAATTAAGAGGTTTATTTTTTGGGGGGGTGAGGGTGAATTACTGAATTTACTATGTTTTTTATATAGAGTTTTCTGGGGGATGTATTTATGTTTTGTTTTTATTTAAAGGGTTTTTTTTTGGAGGGGGGGGGGGGGGGGGTCAGGGTGAGTTTTTGGTAATTTAATTTTCTGTTTGGTTTATTTTCTTTAGGTTTTTTGTTGTTTTTGTTTTTGGATGAGAGTGAACGTATGCTTATTTTTTATTAATTTGCTGTTTTTAATTTTATTTAAACGTTTTTGTGGGGATGAATGGGGTGAATGTATGGTAATTCCCTTTCTTTCATTTGCTGTTCTTTCTTTTTTTAATAGCCTTTTTGGGGATTGAGGGGGATGAGGTTCAATTTATAATCCTTTTTTTTTGTTTTACATAAACATATTGTACATTCACATCAGTCCCTGCCCTCCAGGAGCTTACAGTCTAAGGTCCCTAATGCACATTCATACATACATATACATAATTTAATTTATTTAATTTGTTGTTCTTTATGTTTCTCTTTTTTTATGGAGAGTTATTTTTATTTGGGGGGAGGTGAATTTATGGTAATCTAGTTGATTTAAAGTGTTTTTTTCCGGTACTCAAATGGACCCGGTACACCATACTTTGAGGTTTCGCATAAAAGAAATGATGTTAGACACTGCTGCAATAATTTCTGCACAGAAATGAGCTGGAATACATCCAAACACCACAAAAAAAAAGACATCTAATCTCAACACATACTGTTCTCTCTGCTTCTGCTCTCTCTATTTTTTTTAATGATTATTATTATACAGGATTTATACAGACAATACAGCAACACTACAGTTCAATACAAGAGGGTTAGGGCTCGTTCACACTTGACTGTTTTACCAACGCTTGCCAAATGCCCCTATAACGCTTGGCAAGCGTTGGTCCGGCGTTTGCGGAGAGTTTTTTTAACGCTTGGCAAACGCTCCGCAAACGCCGCATGCGCAGTTTAGCGATGGTTGCTAGGCGTTTGCTGAGGGTTGGACTCACTGATCAATATTTGGATAGAAGCTGCCTATCTGTAAAACTCCAAGACAATGGCCAATGTTCGTGATTTTATAAATAAAAAAGTATGGTTTGGGGAGAGGAAGGAGAGGTGGTGGTATAGGTAATCTTGGTACTGGTGAAAATAATGCAATGATTGTTGACATTATATTAATGTTTAAGAACCAAGCTTTAGCTCAAAAAGGTGTTTCTTCCATGAAAAGCCATATAATATACTGTATACATTATCTAAGTTATTGTTATTATAATTAAAAATTCCTTGTTGGCACACACAAATAAAATATTTCTACATTAAAAAAAATACAAATGATTAGATTTGGACAGATTGGTAAGAAATTAATACTTAGTACCTAAAATGAATGATGACATTTTTTATATGATTCAAAACAATTGCATTCCATGGAAATCAATAAGAGCCTTTGCTTGTGGCATTAAATGCATTTATGTTGATTAATTAGATGCTTAATGCCTTCTCGGGAAATGCTTTCTGACGATTCTCGAAATCTCAGGTCTAGAATCCCATTCTATGACTTAGTTTATGATATCTCAAAGTGGTTCTTGACATTTCAGGTCCAGGTTCCCTTTTTATGACTCTGTCCATCAAATCCCAAAATCTTTTTTCAAACTGTCAGCTCCAGGCTTCCCCTTTTCCCATGGCTCTGTCCATGATATCCCAAAAACTTTCAGCTCCAGGCAGGGGCGGACTGATGATTTGGAAACTCGGGCACTGACCGAGGGCCCGGGGTCAGTAGGGGGCCCCATGAGATGCCCCTGGTACCTTTTTTCATAGGCTTTTTTGAGTTAGGGCAAGGACACAGGGGCCCCATGATCCCCTATTGCCCGGGGGGCCCCATGAGTTGTCAGTCCGCCCCTGGCTCCAGGCTCCCCTTCTGTGATTCTGTTCATGATCACAAATGATATGCCAAAGTAATTCATGAAATGTTAGGTTCAGATTTCCCTTTTCTGACTGTTCATGATCTACCCAAAGTGATTCTCTAAATTTCAGACCCAGGTTCCCCTTTTTATGACTCCCAAAGTGCTGAAATTCAGGACAACTTTTAGGACCCATCGAATGTCTTATTTGTGTCCAAAGGCCCCATCCCTCATCTCAGCTGTGTCCAGTGTTTGTCTAATGAAAGGCGGCCTTGAGGTTAACACCAGTCTTGTTAAAATGTACTGTCAGTGTTCTCAAGTACAGCCATTGAAGACCATAGCTACAGGAATGACCCAAAGAATACCAGCAGTGCTCCCCAAGGTAGCAGGTAAACTGTGCTGCACTTTATGTACTAGATTGGGACAAATGATTGAATGCATCAAGATTTAGGAGTGATGTTTAAGCAGAACTCAAGCAAAACATTTTATTTCGGGAAAAAAACATTGAAGGCTGATGGCAGAAAAAGTCCAAGTCCATTGAATTGCCCTTTTTAAAAATGTCTACAGGTATATCTATGTTTATCCCAAGCATGTTGAAATCTTATCTTTGGGGAGGATAATCCACTTCCCAGTTTATATTTACTAAAATAATTACATTTCCATATTCTGTGTACTGTGGGAGACCAGATAAAGTGAATGCAGGGTCCGGGGAGACCGGATATAGTGAATGCAGGGTCCTGGGAGACTGGATATACTGAGTGCAGGGTCCGGGGAGACCAGATATAGTGAATGCAGGGTCCGGGGAGAGTGGCTATAGTGAATGCAGGGTCCGGGGAAACCGGATATAGTGAATGCAGGGTCTGGGGAGATCAGATATAGTGAATGCAGGGTCTGGGGAGATCAAATATAGTGAATGCAGGGTCTGGGGAGATTGGATATAGTGAATGCAGGGGGAGACAAGGGAGGGAGACCAGATATATTGAATGCAAGGCCCTGGGAGACTGGATATAGTGAATGCAGGGTCCTGGGAGACCGATATAGTGAATGCAGGTGAATGTCCGGGGAGACCAGATATAGTGAATGCAGGGTTCGGGGAGACCAGATATAGTGAATGCAGGGTCCTGGGTGTAGTAACACTTTAAGTCCTCATGCACACGGGGTGTTTTGATAACGCTGGTAACGTTAGCTGTGGAAAGTCACGTTAAAAAAATGTGAGTTTTTTAGCATTTTTGCATTATTGTTTAGCGGCGTTTTGCCACATATTTCAGTGTTTGCTTTTTTAGCAGTTTTTTTATAAAAAAAATTGGGGGGGTAAAAAAAAAGTCCAAAAACGCAAGTTTGTGGTGTTTTACTGCGTTTTTCAACTTTAGTGCGTTTTTACAGCTAAAAACTCCTCTAGAAACCCACAAGTCCTGTTTTTTTTTCCAGCCAAAAAACATTGATTCCAGTCTATGTGTGCATGGACACATAGGATAACATGCTGGGGGGTTTACTAGCTGTAGAAAAAAACATCAAAAGCCAAAAACAGCCGCTGGAAAAACGTCTCGTGTGCATGAGGACTAATTCAGTCATGGCTGCAATAACTTTTTTTTGTTTTTGAGTTTAATACCACTTTAATAAGATCTTGCACTCATAGGACCATGTGCAATGATCACAATAAGTACAAGATGCTGATTGGTTAATTACCTTAATGACATGGACAGGATGTCCAATTGCAGAACTGAATTTCCCACCCCATCACCAGTTCCCATTGAAGTTCCCTGTTGTCCTATAGCTGACAATACATTCTGCAGCAATATTTGGGTCATTGGCTTCACATAGAAACCGGCAGAGTGAATGTTCCTCCACAGCTGACGAGCGTACCTGACCTCAGTACAGGATGTGTACGCAGCTACTGGAACAAATCTGGAAATGCAAATACACAAGGTGCTTCCTTTCTTCACCTCTTAAGTCTATTTACTTGTCAGACTTGTTCTTTAAAGAAGAACACAATCTCTGGTACATACTGTGTTCTGTTATATATAGCATGTTTTCACAGGGTGGTTAGAAGGTTGTCATTGAGCCTGGGATCAAATATATACGGTGCGGTATCAGGGGCGGACTGACAACTCATGGGGCCCCCGGGCAATAGAGGATTATGGGGCCCCTGTGTCCTTGCCCAAACTCAAAAAAGCCTATGAAAAAGGTACCAGGGGCATCTCATGGGGCCCCCTACTGATCCCGGGTCCTCGGTCAGTGCCCGAGTTTCCAAATGGTCAGTCCGCCCCTGTGCAGTAGGAACCGCACCGCGACTTGTGTACAGTGCAATTGGAGCCTTACATTTTGTATGGCTCAAACCGCACCTCACCGGCACTAAATAGGTGCAGGATCCTTTTTTTGGTCCGCACTAGAATCGGATCCCATGGGTAGTCACACCAATGTGATAAGATTCTGCACATCGCATCGCATTTTTGCGGACAGATTTCAGGGTGTTGTTAACTTAACATACACACCCGCAGCGGTTCACATGAATGGGGTGCCGAATTTGGGTAAAAAAACGCTGTGAATTCCATACCGCATCAGTGTGAATCCAGCCCGGATCTGTGGCTGTAGAAAAGTGAAGGTATTTATTTCAGGTACTTATATAGTGCCGTCAATTTACGCAGTGCTTCACAGATATATTGTACATTCACATCAGTCCCTAACACTCAAGGGGAATACATTCTAAGGTCCCTAACTCACATTCATACATACACATACTAGGGACAATTTAGACAGGATCCAATTAACCTCCCAGCATGTCTTTGGAGTGTGGGAGGAAACCGGAGTACCCGGAGGAAACCCACACAGGAACAGGGAGAACATGCAAACTCCTGGTTGGTTGTGCCGTGGTTGTGATTCGAACCAACAATCCTAGTACTTCCAGATGGAAGTGCTAACCATTTAGCCCTGGTATCAGCTACTGATAAAACTAACTCCACAGAGCACTGGCGAAAAGAGACCGCATTGCATGATCTCAGGACTAATGGAATGCTGGGCCCATATATGTTAAAGGTTTTACTTGCCAAATAATTGGTGATTGAACTTAGCCAGTCATGTGATCCAGACACCACTGCCAGATAGCATAGCCAGCTAAGCAATACAGCCCAGTCCAGGATCTGCTCACTAGTTTGCTGCTGCTCCTTCATTGTCCAGTAACAGACTGAAGTGGTCATCCCCCTGATCTCTCCCCGTGGTCAGTTCCGAGTACCGCACTTCCCTTTCCCAGTCTTGGTGCTTCTTTGTACAATATCACAGGAGTAGAACATGAAGAAACAGGGCACTGGACCTGTGCTATCCGCTATCTACTGTTACTTGTAATCACAGAAGCCTGACGGTACAGCTCTCCCGCAGATCCTCCCTGCCTCAGGGCCAGAGCAAGGGAGGGACAGCTGCCTGGGTGCAGTCAGGGGTGGACTGACAACTCATGGGGCCCCCGGGCAATAGGGGATCATGGGGCCCCTGTGTCCTTGCCCAAACTCAAGAAAGCCTATGAAAAAGGTACCAGGGGCATCTCATGTAGCCCCCTACTGACCACGTGCCCTCGGGCAGTGCATCTCATGGGTCCCCCTACTGACCACGTGCCCTCGGGCAGTGCCCGAGTTTCCAAATGGTCAGTCCGCCCCTGGGTGCAGTACGTTCATGGGTGGTATAATAAATAAGGTTTTGCCGCAATTACCCTAATAATTCAATCAAAAACTAATAAATATATAAATAAATCCAAATTCATAAGTGTAAAAATCGTATAAATTTGGACTTATATTTATATATTTTATTAGTTTTTGATTGAATTATTAGGGTAGGTGCAGCAAAAATGTGGGAACACTATCATTTGTTTCCATATAATAAAATCAGGTATGGCGGCTAAACATACATATTAGGAGTGAACAATATTCCAACTGGGATAGAAACATGTAATTTATTTGACACCAGAAGATTATGCGCCATTGTTTTTCATCTACAACCTGGTGTGGGACTTTTGTCTTTTTGTTTTTGTTCTTGACTTTGGACTCATTAATATATATGACGTTTAGGTTTTTACATGTTTCTATCACAGTTGGAATATTGTTCACCTAATATGTATGTTTAGCCGCCATACCGGATTTTATAATATGGTCACAAGTGATTTTCCACTCCAAGGGGCAACTGACGTTTTTTTTTTTTATTATTTTTATTTTTTTGGCACACTAAATGGTTGAATAAATATTTATATTTTATTGCATAGAAGATACACTGTTTGTGTAAGGCAGTATACATCACTTGTTTGCATGTAAAGAGAAGGTGTTTAGTTTCTCACTAAATTGCTATCATTTGTTTGCAGCCACCCACTATATTGGCAATAGCACTGTTTAAATAAGAGTGAGATAGATGTGATTGAAGGAATTTATTTTGGTAGTGCGGGATAACACATATACACTATGTACATGGGCGGGAGGGGGGCATTGCGTGCTGAGCTGGTGTCTGGAAGCTGACAGCCCTGCAGGACGATTCTGCTGCTGCAGGCCAATGAGAAAAGTCTGAGCCACAAGTGACAGTCCACTGTGCGGGTAAAACAAGTCTTTTTGATTTCTGCAGGGGTAAGCAAGGCAATTGTGGGGGTGGGAGCGAGGTGGGGTGTTGGTGGTGAGGGCTGTGGGGATGCAGAGGTCAGAGCTGAGAAGGGGTGCAGAAATAAGGAGCTGTGGAAGGGGGCTGAAATCTTAGCTGTTGGGGGGAAGGGGGGGGTACAGATATTAGCTGAAGAACAAGGGTGCAAAGGTGAGCTGTAGACAGGAGTTAGATAAGGACAGGGGCACAGAGGATAGCTGCTGACACGTTAGAGGGTGCAGAGTTAGGCTGTGGACAGAGATGCAGAGGTAACTTGCGGACAGGCAGTGTAGAGGTAAGTTGCGAACAGGTGGGGTGTGCAGAGGTGAGTTGCAGACAGAGCACAGGTGAGTTGTAGACGGGTGGGTGCAGAGATTAGTTGCAGACGGGGGGGCAGAGATGATCTGCAGAGAAGGGGTGCAGAAGAGAGCTGAGGGCAGGTGGGGTTTGCAGAGGTGAGTTGCAGACAGAAAGAGAGCAGAGGTGAGTTACGGATGGGTGGGGAGTAAAGGAGTGCGTTGCAGAAAGGGGGTGAAGAGGTAAGTTGTAGACAGGAGGTGTAGAGGTGAGTTACAGACAGGTGGGTGGTGCACAGGAGAGTTGCGTACAGGGGGTGCAGAGGTGAGTTGTGGATGGGCATGCAGTGATGAGTTGTGGGTGCAGAGTTGAGTTGCAGATGGGGTGCAGATGTCAGTTGCGGACAGATGAGGGGTGCAGTGGTGAGTTGCGGATGGAGGTGCAGAGAAGAGTTGTGGACAGGAGGTGCAGAGGTGAGTTGTGCTGGTGGGTGCAGAGGTGAGTTGCAGACAGGAGGTGCAGAGGTGAGTTGTGGACAGGTGGGGGGGTGTACGGAGGTGAGTTGTGGACAGGTGGGGGGTGCGGAGGTGAGTTGAGGACAGAGGTGAGTTGCGGACAGGGGTGTGGAAGGGGTGTGGAAGTGGGATGGGGGTGCAGTGGTGAATTATGGTGATGGGGGGGTGCAGAGTGAGTTGCAGACAGGGGGTGGGGTAAATTGCATGCGGAGGTGTGGATGGGGGTGCATTGGTTAGTTGTGTGTGCAGAGGTGAGATGCAGGCAGGGGTGCAGAGTTGTGCAGCGAACAGGGGTGTAGAAGTGATTTGTAAATTGGGCACAGGGGTGAGCTGCAAAGAGTTGTGGAGAGGGGTGCAGAGGGGAGTTGTGGATGGGGGTGCATTGGTGAGTGTGACATTTGTGGAGAGGGGTACAGAGGTGAGGCAGGGGGCAGAGAGGTGATGTGCTGCGAGGGGTACAGAGGTGAGTTGTGGATGGGGGCACAGAGGTGAGCTGTTGACAGTTGTGGAGAGGGGTGCAGAGGTGAGTTGGGATGGGGCACAGAGGTGAGCTGCAAAGATTTGTGGAGAGGGGTACAGAGGGAGTTGTGGATGGGGCACAGAGGTGAGCTGTTGACAGTTGTGGAGAGGGGTGCAGAGGTGAGTTGTGGATGGGGGCACAGAGTGAGCTGTTGACAGTTGTGGAGAGGGGTGCAGAGGAGAGTTGTGGATGGGGGCACAGAGGTGAGCTATTGATAGTTGTGGAGAGGAGTGTA